CTATTGCGGAAGATGACTGCCACTCCTTGGCTCATCTGTCTTTGGTCTCCAAAATCACCCGATATACAGTGGGCGAAAGCAACAGACGACTTGTTTTGATTTTCCGAAATAACGCTGTCCATATTTCCTTCAAGAACTTGAATTTGGCTATCGGGTATTTCAGTAGATACTACATTCGAATGGTTAACATCTTTAGTAGAACAAACAGATGCAACATGACGTGTTACTACAGGGGATGGCAATGTCTTAGATGCGTTGTTTTGTTTAGTTTTATTTTCATGTAGGAATTCATTAGTTAGCCTTATTATTTGCTTGGCTATACACTTTTTCCCCTTACTGTTCAAGTGCAGGCCATGTCGAGTGTGGTACCAGCGCTGGAGGAGATGCAGATCAAGAGTTTTAGCTTGAGGGAAATCTGCGAGCATACGTCTTATCATTAAATTTGTGTCATTTATAAACTTATTTTCAGGGCTTTCTGGTGTTAGATCGTATCTGTTAGGTATAGTAGACAGAATGAGATTTGTGTGCTCAAACTTGGGAAGAGCCTCTGTCAGATACTGACAAACTGGATTTATTGGCGCTCGAATGACTGAACTAGTGATGTCATTTGTTCCTGCTAGAATAACGATACAATCTTCCTTTGTGTAAGTTTTGAAATAGGCAGAATTCATAACTTGGTGTAGTATTGGCTTAATAGGGGCCCCTGGCTGACAGTGGTTAATAATTTGGAGAACAGTACTAGCTCCGTGTTTTGTATGTTCGATGAATGCAGCTAAGTCTCTTCCCTGGCTGTCACTTGAGATGGATAACTTGTGGGAGTCTGATCGAGGAGCTGATACGTGTTTCTTCATTGGACCGGGCCTTGTATGTTTTGTTTTGTTTACATTGTTCTTCTTAGTGGTGGTTTCTGGAAGGTCGCTATTAACAGAGACTACATTCGATTGCGGTATTTCTGCTATTACGTCCAGAACTTCAAATCGGTTTTTAGTTACTAATTTTACATTAGGTTTGGACTTTTTTGTTTTAGATATAGTCTTTTTCGAGGGGATTGTCCTCCACTTATAGCGATTTTCATTTATTTGACTTTGTGATGCTGTCGCAATGTTGCAGTTGGGGACACCATTTGGTTTTACGGCTCCAGAATACCAGTCCGCAAAAGTTGAACCAATATTTCTTTTACAAAAGTGGTCTGCAATGTACTTAGTGTTAGCCAGTACATGGATCCCACATTCAAATGTCTGTTTCTGCTGGACACAGGGCATTTCGATCACGTTATCAGATTGTATTCCAAGTTTCGCAGCAACAGATTTTGCATTCTTTATATTCATAGAGTGGACAGAGTCAAAGTGATATGCGGCTTTGTTTATCCTATCTAAGAATAATAAACTCCAATGAGATCCAGTGTCTTCTGCTCCCCCGTCTGTGCAATCGCTTAAGCATAGAAATACATATTTACAGTTCTGGTATGATGTTAGCTTTAAGCTTTCTTCATAGATGTCTTGTGTACCGAGAGTAATAGTAAGCGTCACGGAGGGTCCTAAGAATAAAACATCTTTGTTGCCTAGGTTGTCCGACATGGCAGCGAAATAGTCGTTAAGGACAGAGTCATCTACCCATTTATCCTTGCCCCAGGACTTCTGTGACTGTAGTTTCAAAATATCGCATTTCATTGTGTCTAAATAAGATTTTAGTCCAGATATAGTAACATCTTTATTTTTGCTCTTTTCAACCAAGTTTTCATACTGCGAGTTAGCTTTCCTGATTTGTTGTTGTAAGTCCAAATTTTCTGCAAGTAAGCAGTTATTTCTAGCAACGATGGTGTTATGTTGCAAATCCAGTTCTTTAATTTTATTTTTAAGTTTAAGCTTCTCAGTGTTTTCAGCATCCTGAATTGTAAATGAGTGGTTTAGATCAGAGGATCTTAATTTCTTTTCTTCATCTAATTTGTGTTCTAACACAGTGTTCTCTCTGAGAGATAGGTCCAGTTGGCTTGTCTTCTCATTGTTTTCAAGCATCACCTCGTCACAATGCTTTATTAGTGATTCTAGTTCACATGTTAAATTACTTAAATCTATTTCTGGGCAATTCGCTTTGATTTTATTTATTTCAAAACAAATAGCTGATATATAGTCGGTCATACTATTTTTGTAGTCTGGAGATTCAATGACAATTTCCTCAAGCTTTTTCATATTTTATAGCTTAAGTAAAATAAGCACGGAACAATGAGTGATTTGTAAATGAATGAAGGATGGTTCTATGAATGGCAGCGTAGCGATAGTAGCTCTGGAGTTCAGGCGCCGGGAGATAAGGATTGCGGTCGCTGATAAGGCGGGTTTGTTGATTAGTGGTGGTATCTGCAGTCCAGATTTTGAAGCTCTTCAGAACAGAGGGAAATGTCTCATTATATTGTTGGCAGCAAGTCTTCAAAGTGCGCATGCGCCAACTTTGAAATAACGGTCGTGGACCACTTCAATTTGTAAAACTTGTAATAGGTTAGATTATAAAGACGTTGTAATAGTGTTCAGAATTGTGTAATCGTCCGTTATTAATGTAGTATTACGTGCAAAACACTTACGATAGATGGTTTCATAGGAGTAAACAGTAATAGAGTACGTCAGAACGGTAAAATAAGAGATTTTGCGGCACTTGTAAAAACTGTGTAGCTATAAGGCAGATCAGGTCTTTTATGCTCTCCAGAAGTCTGGATATGATAAAAATATTTAATCATAATCGCAAAATTGTACTGGAACTAACACCTTTTTTGTTTATCGCCGTGTCACATTGAATATTTTACAAAAAAAGATCCCTTTTATCTACATTTGAACAAATTGAAGTGTAAAATAATTAGTACCCTAGGTAATAATCTTAATATTAATTTATTGTTGTAATGGCGTAGTAATACATTGCTTTATCTAAAGTTAACAGCTGACTCCAGCAGCTGACTGTAAAAAGTAAACAAGTATTGTTCGAAAAATCTATTATTGCACGTAAAAATCATCAAATGCCTCAGTAAACAGCTGTTTGTTGGTAATGAGAAATCTGAAAACAAAATCGAAGACTTTTCGGGAACTACCTCGTACACATAAACGTGCAGTTTTGTTTTGTAATGTATCTGTCAAAATAATTACATGACGATAAATATAGCTTATAACTGGGCCGAAAGTGAATTTTCAACTGTCGCTCACTTTCCTCAGTTAAACTAAGATCGAACTAAAGTGTCGAAGAGAGCTTTAGTGATGCAATATTCTTCTGGTCTAGTGGCAAAATCGGTGGAGAAATGTTAAATCTATAAAAATGAATAGTTTATGAGGCCTACTCAACTCCAGCTGATTTATTGTTGCCCTGGATAAAACCTTAGAATACTTTAGACCCACAAGGCATGAATTGAAAACAGCCAAACTTTCTGCAGTATGATGAAATAGCTAAAGGTGTGTCAAGAGGGCATTGACTGTTTGTGCTCTTAATACACACATGATTCAAACATGTTTACCACCATAGTTAACCTATATCCTACACACACAGACTAACTTGAGTTTGATATAAAATGTAATTTAGGTCATTTTTCGATTATTTTATTTTCTTCAAATCCACGGCTTTGGTTAGCGTAGATACACTAACTGTGAAATCGAGCAGAAATGAGTTTTTTTTGCGTACTGCTTATAGATAATGCAATGTGATACTTTCCATGCAGTGGTAGGAAAACGGTTTCATTTATTGTTTCAGCGAAATCTTATTCAGCGTGTTTTCATATTTAATATCTTCGTTCGCAAGTGTTGTAAGCATCAGATTGTGATGCAAAATCTATTACTGATGAAAAAGGTATCTGCAAACATTGAATTGTGCATGACAATCAAATCGTGTAACCGGAATTAACGGTTGAAGAATACAAATAAATTTACTACGATAGTTGTGCTTCAAAAACTAAAAAAATTTTTTTAATCCACCACTATGTAACGAAGATAGTATGATAGCTAAACATTGTTTTTCTAAGGGAAAAATACTTAGTGGGAGGAAATGTAGCGGTGTGTAAGAAGTTGAGTGGAGAAAGAACAAAAAATGTACAAACAAATTAATTAAAATAGAAATATTACTACAGAATAAATTACTTTCTGTATACTTCACTATTTCCACTTTGTAACGTAATAAAAGTGAATCCAAACAAAAAGTTAAATCATATAAACGAGCTAATTATGCCGAAAAAACTTTTTGTTTGGAATAATCTGTTCTAGTTTATACCTGGCCATTATAGAGAGCTAACAGTGAACAAAGGAGACAAAGAGTGTGGTTTTCCTTGTTTGTAAATATGGCTTCCTTTGTTGGAAAGTCTATTGGAAACGCTGCTGAAGGGGTTCCCTATTCAATCGCTTTGGTGGCTTACCTTTTGATAAGAAGGGCAATTTGAATAAGGCATAAAAGGAAACTCCAAAAAGCTCAACCTTTATCAATCCTAGTTTTACTATCAAAATTACAATTAAATGTTACTAGCAATGACTGTATAAAATATAAAACAGATTTCTAAATGTGTACTAGTTTTGACTATGAATACAAAATATACATAAAATTCGATTATCTGAAGGCAACTTGTTAGCCATATTGAATGCAATAAAATATTTTTGGTTATTATAGCATTCTGTCATAAATAACAAGAGCAAAATTTAACATAAGCAGACCCTATAAAAAGCTCATTCTATTAGTCTCGGCTTCGTTAGGCCTATAAAAATGAGACGTCTACTTCTGTGTTTAAACTACTAGTTATCGAATATACTGAATTAAGAAACCTTTTCAAAGTGTTTACTGTTAAAAGAGTTACAGATCAAAATAACAAGCCGAATGATAAATATTTCATTATTTTTAGATAAATCTATTTATTTACAAAGATATATTAGTTGATAACACGAGAAATTTTGGTCTAAAGAGCAAAATCCTGGAAAAATGCAAACGTTTGCACTATTTTTAGGTGTTTTTGATCACTTTCTTTTAACACATGTGTTTCTTTTCAGGAAAAAGACGACTTAACGCGGCAAAGAGAATCTCAACTTAGACAACATTCCTTCTTCCAGTTGAGAGTTCACTTGAAGCGAGGGAAAGATCTGATAGCGAGAGATAAGAGCGGTAATGATAACAGTAGTTATAAGTAACTATGGTGTGGGGAAGTAGTTGTAACGTAAGGTAACTTGAATTGTAAAGCAATTGAGATAAGATTTATAATTAGTTTTTATCACAAAAGGTTGTAGTGAAGTGGCAAAGTGGTGAACAGATTTAGTGTATGAGGTTTTTTTTACCAATAATCAAATAAAAAAGTAATAAAACTAAGGATGGAGAATATTGAGGAGTCTAAATTGAATAACTTATAACTTATAACTTATTAATATACTAGTAAAGTATGTTCAGAAAAATCTTAAAATTCGTCCATCCCTGTGTAGTGTATTGTCAGTAATACCATTGCTCTTCGGTTACTGAAGTAGATATGCTATATTTATTCCGTCCATTCTTCTTCATGAAAATGGAACTAGGTTTAATGGGCCGATCACAGAGTGATCGGATTGAAACTGTTATCTTATTTACTACTTGACCGTAAATCTAAAACTGTTTTACGTTATCTGATCTACATCTTATAACAATGTTTCAGGCACAAGCGACCCATATGTCAAGTTCAAGGCGGGCAGTCGACTCCTGTACAAATCCAAGACCATCTACAGAGACCTGAACCCAGTATGGGACGAGAGCTTTGTTTTACCCATCGAAGACGTGTTCAACCCTATACAGATAAAAGTAAGAAAGGATAACGATTTCATTTGCTTTCGATGATAAATATTTCTGTTAAAGTAATAATTCTAACAGGGATTATAAAAATGAAAAGACTATAGTGACTAACAATGAGGTACTGACATTGTCACTTTCTAATCAATCTTTCGAAACAATGGTGTATTAATATTGTACTTTTAGTTTATAATGACAAACTTTGATTAATTATTGATGAAAATATACTTACGTTTGCTAGAAGGTGTCGAAAAGGTATTTAAAATGAATCACACCCATTAAGTAATATATGAATGAACTATAGTTAGCTTGAAACATGTATATCATGAACATTACGGAATATTATGCCGTATGGCATACTACGTAATTAAATATTAACGGTGTCAAGACTGTTCGTTTTAAAACTTTAATACATAATCATAAATTATAATTTATTCCTAAACTAACCTTTGTAAATGTTCTAGTTCAAAGTGGGTCACAAATTTATTTAAAAAATCTACTTTTTAAATTAACAGTAATTTTAAATCTCGGTTAAAAACAAATAATAGCAGTTCAGAAATTTAAAAATTCATAGTGTTTCAAATATAAAAACATGGTCTGGAAATGAAGGGATTCGTCGTCTGGCAAAACCAATCTGGAAACTGGATTGGACATGTTCAGTTCTGTTGGTTTAAGATTTAAATCTAAGATTAGTTTTATTCGTATTTTTAGATGGCTTAATAAATTCCCCTTTCACATACATAACCGAATTAAAAACATTAAAAGATTCGTTTGGAAAAGTCTTTATTGTTCGATACGAAACCAGCTTTGATAAGTTTTAACATAAAGAAATTTAATAAAAAGTTCAGGGTTCAATATCTTGTATTGCATTCTTTCACCACTCTTAAGTAGATATTTGTTCTGATTCTGATATGCAAAACTGAAAATGTATTAACACCGACGTAAATTTTAATGTATACTACAATTTAGTTTGTTTTGTCTACAGGTGTTTGATTATGATTGGGGTCTCCAAGATGACTTTATGGGCACAGCCTATCTGGACCTGACCAAATATGAATTCGGAAAGTAAGTAAACCTTAGTCTCTTATACTATCTCTAGTAAAAAATATACTGTTTTCCTAAATGTAATATATAAAAATGAATAAATTCATAATCAGTAGAGAAGAGAGTTGACAAAGTCATAGAATATTTGACTCATTAAATATTTATAGCAGACTTATATCCTTGGCTTTTTTCGATATTTCGGAATAATAGTAGTTATAGATGTATTTTGAATGCTAGTACCAGGTACATAGGTGCTAGCTGTTTTACTTTGTCATTAAAATACACTCCTGGTTCAATCAATCGTCACTTAATTTACTAAATAAAGGTATTTTTTTTACCTTATCCTTCGTCTGAAACCTAAATTTACCTTCAATCTGTTTTAAAACTCTCCTAAATCATAATTATGCTAATACTAGTTTGTTCAGTAATGTCTTAAGTGACTCTACTCAACTCGAACTAAAGTTTATCAAGGTCGAAAATACACTTAGGGTCAAAAGGCACATGTGATGAAAATACCTTCACATAATGTACAATATTTCACCTCGGTTTTCTGTTACAGACCCACTGACGTTATCCTCTCACTTAAGGACACGGGCAAGTCCGAGTATCTCGGGGAGGTCCACCTCACTTGCACTCTCTGGCCCAAGTCCCAGGAGGACAAAGAACAGGTAACAGTGAGTTGTTATCTTTGTAGCGTAAAATTATCTAGATGTAGCCATTAAGGTCTGGAAATGAAAAATAGGGAGATATTTTGTAAGCTTTTAAACACCTTACTCAGATTTGGAAACAAAGTTATCAATACTAGTTTACCATTTTATCTTATATTTTTACATAACGTTTATCAAACTGCATATACAAACTAAAGGTAGAGGTAATAGACAGGTTATAAATCTAGGGTTTGAAAATAGTGATTAGATTTTTAGCTAAAAAATTGACATGGTTTGTGTGACTCTTAGATAATCGTCTCAAAATGTTTACCAAACCTCTTTATAATTTAGAATAAAGTAAAGGTCTTCAGCTTTAACATTGTAGCTCACAACAATACATAGTACAGTTTTACCTCAACAAGTTTGCCTAAACGTAATACTAGTGATTGGCATGTATAGAAAAGAAGATGCTAAAACACAGGCTACGGTTTGGAAATACTTCTTAGCTCAAAAACCCATTATCTGAACAATTGTATGTTGGATATAAACCTTAGAGAATTTTCTAAGAAGGTTTATTAAAGAAAATGATTCAGAAAAGTTAGGTTACTGCACAGAAACTTTGGCTTTTAACTTTCAAAGAGAATTTATCCCCAATAGGATTTATGAAACTAAATAAAACCATAGGACGAATAAAAATGATTAAATAAAGAACGTATAGGTAACATAAACATAATCACTGGGAATCACCCTTTGCGTTGTAGCACAAAAGGACATATCAGATGTAGCCTCTAGAGAATCCTAAAATAATATTTACTTAACGACAAAACCCGGTACAAAGTAAAAAACAGAGCATTGTAAATAATCTTTTTCTTTGTAAAAATATTATCACATTAGATTTAACTACCTTAGTTAGCTGGCCACAACGTATAAAATGTGGTCAATAGTTTTTAGCGAATTTCCCTATAGGGAAGTAGCTATTACCGTAGGTGGCATGGTAGGACCTAGGCCCGGGACCGATTTACTTTTTCATTTTGATGTCCCCAGAGGCCAAAAACACCATTCGTTCAAATTTTTATATATGTATATATATATATATATATATAGATTTATATATATATATGTGTCCGTGAACACGATAACTTGAGTAATTTTTGTCCGTTTTTGATGAAATTTGGTTTGAAGGTGTAAGGTGGGATAAACTTGAATGAGTTCGCGAACCAGCATGATCGGACCATGGGAACAGGGTTTTACAGGGGGTTTTATGGAGTAAAAATTGGTTTTTCTAATTTTTTACCCTCTAAACACAAAATTTCCCAATTTCTCTCCAGACCTTTTTAAAGAGCTTAAAAAAAGAAATAATTCAGTATATCCAAGTGTTTTTGTACAATTATTGGTTACGGAGAAAATTCAAAAAAATGTTATTTTTAAAATTCCCATGTTATTCTTATGGAGAATATTGTAAAATGTTGTAGTTTGCTTGTTTATGGATATATTTTAAACAAACTTGGTAAATTTATTTATTTTATACAAAGTTATTCGTATTTTACCAAAAATACACTTTTTTACCCTCCCTGTAGCACCAAGCCTAGGTACTCATAAAACCTAATGTTAATTAAATACATTCAATTGAAAATCAATTCAGGCAAATGGAAATTCGCTTAGTCGGCAGGTTTGCTGCGGCGGGGGTATTTATAAGCTAAGTTCATCCAGTAAAATATTTTTTAGGTACAGTATTATTACTTTTAAAATAATTATTTCGTTATCATCAGCCTGTGATAAGATAACATGAGAGAATGCACCTAACAGTAATACACTACTGTGTAGCCAAAAGTAAAATTCAGCATCAGAAAGTTATTATAGTTATAGTTAGAATAGTTATAATTAACATAGGAATATACAGACATCTTTATGCTGTCTTACACGTACATTTATTTCGGTAAACTAGTTGTGTGTTCAATGTTCAATTCATCAACAGTCGGTAGAGCAGTTTTGCTACTGCATTACCGACGTTTTGTAACAGTTCCAGACCTGCCGCTAGAGTTTAGCATCTGCCTTGTTCTTTGTTGTTCCAAAGGTCGATACCTAGTTCCAACTCTAATTGGTGGACTTGGGAAACAAGACTTACCTTAAACTTTGTTAGTTAATTGGCCTCGAGTAAAAGGATAGTTAACAACAGCTGTTCTTTTCATCTCACAAGAATATTGATGTTTTCTTTTACATTTTAAAACTAGCATTGATACGGTATTAATACACTTACAATGTATAAAACACCGTCATTAAAAATAAAAAATAAATATGTAAGTTATGAAATCGATGATAGAAAATAGATTAATTTGTTGAAAACAATATATTATTACAAAAAGCTTAAGCTTGTTTTATTGAGCCGGTGTTCCAAGAGGAATATACTATATGCTTTTTTTTTGCTTATTTGTATTACTGTACTGTAGATATTTGTGTTTATTTAAAAAATCTGTATGATAAAAACTAAATATATTTGTATAGTAACTAGTTACACCATACAATAATGCAACCAAAACTTTCGAATCAAACTAGGTTATTTAATTAACCTAAATAAAATTCCCTTAAGCATTTTATTTAAGCCAACACTGTGTGTTGTAGTGTTATATAGTCAATGTCTTAAGTCAACTTGCATATGTTAGTTTATTCAGTATCAGTTTCATAATGCAGTTTACGACACAATAGACTCTTGCTACAGTCTGTAATGTGTATTGTGTACACGACGAACCCTGAGAGCTAAGCGTGTATTATAGAGGGTTTACTTGGTGAATATTCAATTAAATTCTATGTATATTTTTTTGAACAGTGCGAAATTTGGAATTCATCCCCAACATGTCAATAGTATGTATAGTGCTTTTATTAGAGTCTTGAGTAAACAATATACTAATTGTTATAGTTATATGGTGTTTTATATGTAGTGAATGTAAATGCTACCCATTGGTTTATTGCAGTTGTGATGAAAGTAATGGCGACGTCAACCTTTTATACGTTTAACCTTTTGTAATTAGAAAAGCGTTGTTACCAACCACAGTAGTGCAGATAGAACGAACATTGTGTTTGTATTTGTTACATTGTAACCTATCATCTAGTCAACAGTTTATTTAGTGAAATATTTAGAATTTGTCATCCGTCTATACAAGGCTAAATTTGAATGACAAATCAAGACTCGGGGTGCATTATTTCCCTTGTATAATGTTAATACAAAATATTAGTCACAATTTTACTGCTCTGCCTGTTCAGACTAAAAACTTAAATAATTAGTCCAACAATATGATGGACGGAATTGTTTTTTATGAATATTCAATCTTTTGATTTACAACTAATGAGTTTCCTCAGATATCAGTGTGAAATTGAAACTGCAATATTGTAAACTAGATGTAGAGATCAACAATGGCGTATGGAGCTCTTCTCTTTTATAACCGTTAAATGATGGAATTTAAAAACGGTATAGACTTTTTAAATACATAAAATTCTGTAAAATAGATATTTCATCCTCGCTTCAAAGACGTGGCAAGTTTTGGTCAGAAAGACATACGATAGACAGTTGCCAATACATGTGATCCCTTAGTTATTTGGGCCAGGCTGCTGAGTTGGTAAAATCTTATGTGGTTATTGGAGTCGAGAGAGACATTCGCTTTAGATAGACTCTACTGACTAGAATTCTGACTGAAAGGTTTTACATGATAAAACATTGTGAAAGCATTTAATCTACAATAGGTATTTAGGCTATTGTAATGATACAAAAGTATGTGACATTAAACCCCTGTCTAGTGTATTGTGTCCAAAAATGTTGAATGGTGACGAAGCAGCAATTAAACCAACGTTGTAATAGCACAGCACAGCACAGACTGGTATTCTATAGTCTGTGGTAATAGTGCCTGCTCATATGACTGTAAAACTCTTTCAGTTAATGACATTGCTAATCATTCAAATTACTACATAGCATATATAGCTGTTTATATGACCAATAGGAGTGTTTGATTAAATATTATTGAATCCCATATTTTACACATGCATCCATTTTGATTGTCGGGAAGTGTAAATATTTCTAACTAACATTTTTACACCTACCTTCCAGCCTTTAGATGAATTGCATTTACAAATGATTCAAATGTATTGCAGAACAGGAAAGTACTTATCCATGCATTCACCATGGTACACTTCCACAAACAGTTGTCAATGTTTACCACAACCAGTGTTGCCAATAGTGAAATTTCCCTGGGTTGGAAACTAGTAAATATCTACTAATTTAATTAAATTTATAGTTTTTATGTGCATAAGCTAAACATTTAAATTTTAACTTTTTTCTTAACATTCTATTAAAGTTTTCTTAAGCATTATCCAACTTAAAGTAGTTTTTTTTTTAGTTTCAACTTTACTTTTTTTCTTTCACAACGAGGATACATACAGATGTATTTAAAATCTTCCTATCAGATATAGAAGAGACTAACACATATTTTATTGATTTGGTTTATTCTATATTTTTTCTCTGTAGCTACTAAATTGTCCACACTTTCACTGGCTAAAAGAGACTCGAGTCATTTACAAAATGGACAACCAAAGGTCACTTTAATTACGATACACTTTGCAAGGTTTATATCAGCTTCTCAATATAATTTCAATATGCGGGTCATAAGTTGAGATAATGATGTTGTTAATTGATGAATTTGATAACCACAACTCAGAAATAGGTCACAACAGATGATAAACCTCTACGCAGTTTCGCAGGTTTGCATTGCAATGACGCTAGCAGTTATCAGTTACGGAATGTAAACTCACAGTTCAAAGATTAATTATCTGTGTTACTGTTGTTGTTAGCTGTGTTATGTTTATATTGAGTCTCGCACTAGATGAGCACATGTCGTCAATAGTCTCTGGGACTTTCCAGGGATTTTGCTCAGCATTTCTGTTAGGAACGTTGCGTATAAAATACTGAATTAAGTATAATCCCGCAGGCAAAACGGTGTTACCAGTTATTACATTTATATTGAAACGTGAAAAATGCGCATTTGGCCAATTAACTTCAGAATGAGTTTGTGGACCTTTGCTGTGCAGTGACTCTTGCAACGTAAGCTGTTCTTACAATTATAAGGTTAAGGCTATACTGCTTAATTGTCACATTAACTTCTAGACTCGCACAAATCATCATTTTATCAATTGAGTCTGGAAACAAAGTTAAGGGAATTGTTACAAACAAACACGAATTATTTTTTATACTTCAGTCAGTGACCTTATGAATATGGAGATGGATACCAATTACTGAATGTACTCCCCAAACTGCACTAGTTGTTACTTACACCTTTAACTTTTTTGCATTCTGCCTCGCTCGAGGAAAAGATTATTTTGTGCAATTCTTCCTGGACCAGTTCCGTTGGGATTTTGTAATTAGCACTGCAGTGACGGTCCGGAACCTGTTGTGGCACTAATGACGTCGTAGCGGGATTCCCGCCGATGGCAGCACTGTTCAAGATGGCGGCGACGCGTGCGTCAGCTCGCGGTTCGCGGGGTGGCGGGAGATCCTCAGTCAGAGTGAGCCTGGTGTAGTGTGCGGTCCCGTCATCGATCGTGATGGCATGACTCAGCCGGGCAACGAGCTGGTGACTCGCGTCAAGTCGCGGCTAGCACGGTTGGGAAGGTCGGCGACCACGACCGCCGCGACGACCGACCCGGAGGACGACGGGGGCGGAACCCCTCCGAAGAACACCCCGAAGCAGCTGCTGCGGCACATCCTCAAGAGCAACACGGGGTGTACAGAGAGCAATGACAGCGACACGGAGAGCTTCAGGGTGTCCGCGAGTGAGGAGGACAGCGACACAGAGCCGAGGAGGAAGCTACAGAAGAGCGCCACCTTGGCGGAGTGTCCGGAACCTCCTGACGGGGAGAACCTCCCTCTGGAGAGCATCCTGGAGAAACTGGGCAACAGGATCAAGGAGCGGAGTGACAAGATGCATAAGGTGGGATGTGCTAACTCTGTATCAGGAATATGTTAAGCAGAGAATGATAATGTTTAGGCATGAGGGGATGGCTATGACAGGATTTCAACAGTGCAAACCCTGTATCTCAAGGAATACGATGATAGCGAGGGAGTGATAAGGTGGATAACGGGTATGTTGTGAGAATGAGTTATGTTTGGGAATATGATTTTAGGAAGCTGAGTGGTAAGGCGGAGTTTCCTCCATAACACGGTTTATTCTGAACCAGATCAACGTAAGAAACTCTATATTGGGAGTATGTAATGAAATCGGGGTGCTGATATACACAAGATGATGTCTATAAGAGGAACTAACAGTCCAAAGTTAGTAAATAAACACATATAGGCAGTAGTAAAGCAATTAGGCTATGAACTTGTCGTGATGGACACCACTTTAGGTTTGTTCTAAGCTAACACAAGAAACCACATACTTTTGGAAATATATAAAAGATGTTATGATAGAGAGGGAAGTAAAATTCGCCACAGCTCTACAGTGCGTAGTCTTACCTCTGTTGTTTTTTGTTTTGTTTGTTTTTAATTAGAAAACTTTGCCTTTGATTTTGGGGTGAAATGCATAAAAAACTGTCCACTATTATGTTAATATTTAACCACTTAGATGAACGTAGTTATAGAAAATAAACTTATAAATCTTTACAAAAATAGTGATTATAGAAGGAATAATTACATGGCCAACACAAACAAAAACAAATTTCCCAATTGGGGTTTGCTCAAAAATAAAATCTTATATTGACAAGTGTTTTACAGAAAAATATCCGTGCAAAGTGTGTCGGTGTTTAGTAACATTAAGCCTACCTACAGTAAAAGGCAGGTCGATATGCAGCCTAGACCCCAGGTGGAGAGGTAAACTGTCTCTAAATAACGCAATCTTATACTCGCCTTGGGGATAATGTTATACACGGTAGTTTACCTGCAGTTCCAAACTTTTCTCAGACAAATTGTATACATTCAAAATAGAAAAACACTCAGTTTCACATCTCAATTGATCTTCTTAAATGATCGTTTTAATATCTTAAAAACTAACGGTTATTATCGTTCACATGGGTATCAAAGGCCTGCGGGTGGAAAGCATAGGTAAAGCAAGAAGTGAGCAGGTCAGGGGAATGAAATACGAAGAGTCAATTTTTATTTGACAACACCGGGAAGCGAATACAAAACATTGCTGTCATTGGTTCCACAGTCGCGTTCAGCTCTACTCAATGGTTGCGCCGCTTCAATTACGGTGGACATAAATAGTACGTTTATCTTTGTAATGTGTAACATGTTGGTGTTGTTCGATTAAATGAAAAGTTTGAGAAACTTATGTAATTTTGTGTCCAAACATGCTAGTTGTATTTTGCGATTTTATAAGGGAAGTAAACAATAATATCTAAAGGATTTACGTACACGTAATTCATTTACTTACGTCTACGCCAGGAGGATTTGTTGCGTGTTTTGGGGAATACATAAAAACCGCTTCATCAAATTTAGCCATTTAGTTATTTAGCTTAATTTCTGTACATATGCATTTACTGATAGTATTCTTTAACTTTCAGCAAAGACACCAAACAAATGCTTTACCAAAATGTAATTAATTAGGTTTATGTATTAAACATCAGGAGGATTATTTTCATTATACGTGAAAGGAAGGTTCCAGTTTCACTCGCTCTACCAAGTCCCAACAGACTTACAATCTTCTGATCTTATTTGCTTGAACTGTCAGAATACAATTTAAATTATTGGTAGTTAATTAATGGGGATTGCGAATTCGTTTCTTCTCAGAGTGTATTTAGTGACCTAATAAGTGACCGCAAAAATCAATAATTTATGTGTTGTTCCCTCAAAATTTAAAATATCGCTACGGTTATTATTTTTAAGCATTCCACGTCGACGACAGTTTCGTCACTCACTGCAAGCTGGTAGATAAGCGTCTGATGTTGCGAGGCGAGAGTAGGTTTCCTGGTTTCCTCAGAAGCTGATTCACCGGATTGCACACCCGCTATCTTACCTCCACCTGAGTGACCTTGAACTTGAGTGAAAGTTCGCGCTTCGCCACACAAACACAAAAGAGTAACCGAATCAGCTGACGGCTCGTCTCAGTGCTGCCACCTGCAAATATTCACCATTTTCTCTTCAACTATTCGCAATTTATAATGCAATTAAGTTTGGGTGTTTTTTTTATTTCTTGTTCAACAAAGTAGTTTTTTTATTGTTGGGTTATGAGTTTGCACCAGCCATTGGATGGACCATAACAATGATATTCTCGTGCGTTACATGATTGATTCCTTCACCGGCGTCAGGCAAAACTTCAGGTTTTGCCTGGCTGGTGTTGATAGTGTGAGGAAACCTGAGCAAAAAGTGTCAAGTTGCACTTCCTTCAAGGAAATCTTGCGAACATGCGTCAGCTGACTAGATAGTAGCTCTATCTTAGATGGACGACTTCCTGGGGTTTTAAACTAATCAACAAGCTTGCTAAAATGATTTTGTAAGTTGAGAGATAAAACTTGAAGGTATTGGAGTTTAAAGTAGTGTCATCACTAGGGCCTAAAGTGACACTTTTTGTCCACGTTTAACATTAAAAGCAACGCCAATTCCAGAAAATGAGCAATGGTCAAACATAATTTTTTAGCGAACATAAAAATTAAATCTTTTAGCACTTCAAAAGTACTGAAAAAAGTATGGACATTGAATCAGCTCCGAAATTGCCTACAAAGTGCAAATAGACAATTAGTTCTCTACGAACCACAACTAAGAACCTACCCATAAAAAGAGCAACCTCATGTCAAATACCAGTACAAGATTAAAGTAAGATTTTGGATGTTGAAGAAAACGAAAGATCTATCAAATACTTCCCTTTGAAAAGCTTTCCTTACTCAAGTCTTCCCTTAGCTTGGCTTGTTTGCATCGTAACGAGTTTTGTGATCAATTCCTGTGACAAATTTTCAAACGCTCCGAACTAACAGCTTTACCGAATTACGATATATCCATAGGATAAGATTACGCTTTTTATACTTTGATGATTGTGTGTATTAGCATTTTTGTTTTACACTTTAAATACGAAAACTCACTATTTGTTTATCAAACAAATTTTCTCTTTAAAATGACTAAACAGAATAAAATCTGTTCAGGATTTTGACTTTAACTTGCTTAATTAACGCCTATAGAAATTTTTCACAACTAGTTGCAATTACCCATTATTTTCTTAGTTAGAGCTAATAAAACCTTAGCCACATCAAATTATTTAAAGCTATTGAGGTATCAGCAATTGAAATAATCTCTCTAATTTACAATTATTGGTGTTGTAAATAATGATGGTTTTATGTATTGAAACCATGTTCAATCACGTTTGATGATAGCAGTAGACTCTAAAAACTATTTTTAAATTCAAAAACTTTTTTCAATTTGAATTTGAATACCACGATTTTTGCGTAATTGACCCAAAAATATTTAAAAACTATCTTTTAACACGATGTACACAAAATACGATTAATAAAGTGCTTAGGTTATCTAAGTAGTTGCTACAACGTAACATTTCCTTTGATATAAATGTTAAATATGGATCATAAACCAAAGTAAAGCTTAACAAATCCATGTGCCGTAATAAAAATGTAAAATAGATTTAACTATATTCAACTCAAAGAGTTCTTTCTCCAAGAAAACATTAAACCAACCGGTAAACATCTGTGACGTATTCGTTTTCCTCAATTACTTAAACATTTGTTTTGAATATTTTAGGCCACGTTTCAACTCAACCCACTTTATCACTACCTACCTTTCTAACTTCACTAAACTATTTTTCATTGTTTATGTATGCCTTAGTGTTTTGACAAAACGTCTGTAAGTTAATTACACTTAAACTAATCTAATGTGTTTTAGGCAGTAATAAATATTTAGATTTTGAATTAAAAGTGTTTTTATTATTTACATTATAAAGATTTATAATCATTCAAACCTTTGGCCAGGTGTCAAACTAGTAAAACTAATTTATCAACGTATTTTTCGTAGCTATTTTTAACTAACTAAATGAAGGCCCTATTTGTGTCTCATGTTTCAAGAAACCTTTACTCAAATTTAAAGAATCATAATCAAGAATTCAAAGTGTTCTAACGTATGTTATAAACAATACCTAATAAGATGTAATCTTCAAGTGTCTTGTTGATTAACTTGAGTGTTTATTATTGATGGGATTTTTCGATTTATCAAATGCTTGTTTACAAAGCTGAACTATAGCTTACCTCCTTAATAGATACTTTAGGGTGATATTGGTATTTGGTCAGAGCAAAAGCCTTCTTTCCTGGAACTACGGGTTCAAGTCCTGCCAATTACCAATGAAAATTTGCATATAACACCATGCATCACCCTCCATTATACACATCCTTCCCTTGGGGTGTAGGGTTAAAATACGCACATAGGTGGCGTCCCCATTAAAAATGCATATGAATATGAATACAAGATAATTCTGCAACCCAGTGGTTTCGAGTTTATTATAAGTTGTAGGTTCGAGTATCAAATAGAAATTATAGGTCCTAGAAGCTAAGAGCGCTGATTTTTCAATGTATGTCTCCTAAAAGAAAAACTATATTAAATGTTAATGCTTCTGACTTTATGGGCTCAAATCAGCTTGAATATTCTAAAACTTAGAATAAAATATAAACTTGAATATTGTCCAAAACTTAGTTAAATGAGAGAACATACATACCGGAAAGTTGTTTTCTATCAAATTAAAATGTTGCTTTTAACAATTAACATACAAAATTAAATTTAAATATCAGTTTTATCAACATCAATTGAATATCATCATAATATATCTCATGTTTGACTGTTAAATACCTCAACCACTTCATTCAAAGGTTCATTTTACCCTTTGCAATAGACTGAGTGCTTTTAGTGTCGTAATTTCAGTAACAAAGGCTTTTCTATCACAATCGAACTTAAGAGATGAAATTAACACTCTTGTGTGTAAATTTATCTATTTATTCGTGGTAT